AAGCTGTACATATCGAAACGAATAGAACGGATTAAAAGTTCGATAGCATTGAAATCAAACGAACAATCAAAATGAATCGAATGTAGGAACTTTTCCACTTGACTCATTAATTTGATCCGCCCGCATACCCTGCGCTGATCTGGGCATCATTAGGTTTGGAATTTGTCAAACTAATACCAACTTTGCACTATTCAAATGCCCTACGCTTAGAATCCGCAGAAAGTAAATGCACTACAAATGTTTAAATATTGTCCGTGCTTTACCACGCATACGTATTATAATAAAACGGTTTAAAACGCGAAATATAGGTACTATTTAATTTATTTTATTTCTCATACAACTTATTTTACTAAACGTCCGAATCGACGTAGTTTAAATGAGTTAGCTAATGTTATATTTAGTTTTTAAGCGTTAAAAGTTTTGTATTTAAATACTAAAGCACTGTAGGTATGCAATATCAACGGTCAAGCACGCAAAACGTCGGGTCATTTGCGTGTTTGTCGTTTTTTCAGGTGCAATACTTATACCACAAATAATGAACACTAGATGAAGACTAACTCTTAGGTTTAACATTATGGAAGTTAAAGCTCAGCTCAATTACATCCACGATGCGCTGTCAAGCTATATTGAATTTTCGCATTGGGAAATCTAAGCATTTAAACCGAAAGTCTAAACTTCAACTTCACGGCTTTTTTATATCTGGACTAGTAGGTAATTAAACAAAGACCTCATATTTACGAACTTTGAATATCAAACTTTGAGTATTGTAAACCCACCCTTATGATCGATACGAAGTAGGAATTATTCTGATGTCTCATTAATAATTACGCATCCTCACGTCGCTATAAAATTGTTAATCTTTTTTTAATATTGAAAGGCTGGTTGAAATTTAAAATGCGCGTGTATCAAAAATGCCGTCCATGCTGAATATTGTATCATGTGTTTTTTACAGTATCTATACTTATATTATAAATCTGAAGAGTTTGTTTGTTTGAACGTGCCAATCTCAGGAACTACTGGTTCAAATTGAAAGAAATATTCTAATGTTGGTTGAACCATTTATGAAAGAAGGTTTTTAGGCTATAACACTTCTGAGGCCAATAGGAGCGAAAAAACAGAGAGAAATATGAAAAAAAAACGGGGGAAAGTTATTTATCTTTGAGGGTTCCTGTTGTGTGCGCTGCTAAAACGGTTCTAGGTAATTAAGAAAACATGTAAAAAACAATTATTCTCCTTTAAATGATCTAAAATCGCGAAAGTGTATCTCTCTATATTTTAAGATTAAAACACAAGAACCGTTTATGGTAATCAAAATGTAGTCGAAATACTTCATATGGTCAAACGACTATTTGCCAGATCAGTTAGTTTAAAATGAGTTCCTTACTATCAGTCTAGTGAGCAGATAAATTAAAACACTAAATGTTAATTAGATAGATACAGTCAACTTGTATTAGAGCAGCATGGTGGGTCTAGTTTGCGAGAGCAGATCCCAACAATCTATGACAATGCGCTAACTTTTATCCTCGTACGTATTGTATGCTAACGTTGTGTCGCAAATGAATCTAATTAACCCGCATAATTTGGGTCGCTGAAATTAAGTTTGCCTTAAATTATATTATACTTAAAAATTCTTGGTTTGTTGAACCGTAAATGTGGAAATAAGGCATTATAAATTTTACTCAAATTGCCAAGTCGAGGACTGAACGTTTTCACTTTGTGCCTTTTTACGTGAATTTCGGGGCTCATTTCGATATATTCGAAAATGTTCAGATAATTATTGCAGGGTCAGACTTGAGGAATAGAATGAAATAAATTAGTTTGTGCAATGGTAGCGATGCATCTATACTAATATTATAAAGCTAAAGATTTTGTTTGTTTGTTTGAACGCTCATCTCAATAACTCTTAGTTCGAATTGAACACTTTTATGTAATATTTAATTTCTAGCTTCATAACTACTAAATCATAACGTTGCGACTGGCGACTGCGTATGCTGCAAAAACAGTTCAAAATAGCCAAAAAACCTGATGCCCAAAATAACTTACTTGAACGCAAAGTCGCGGGCACAACTAGTGGCTAATAACCACCGGGTTTGATTCCCAGGGATCCACGATGTCTCTAAATTTATTTTTTCTAAAAGCCATACATTGCAACTAAGACCAACGAGCTCATCGTAACACTTTGCTCTGGTATAGATTGGATGATAACTCGCTTATCTTGGAGCCATCTTGAAATGCGATTTGTCACGCAATGTCCCTACATGCCGACAATCAAAGTGTCTGATCAGTTAATGTAGATTAATTAATGCGATGTCCATATTTAATGAAACCCGTTACTATTGAATGAACAAAACGTATGACACGAAACATTTTTATCGTGTATTTGTCTTTCTGGTACCAAAGACGGTTGCAGTTTAACATTTTTAAATAGCTAAATCTTTAAGCACGAGAGGTCCTGTATTCGAATACAGAGAGACACCAAAATTATTTATTTGACCTGGGCATAGAACTCTGGTGAAGTTATGAAACGGACACAGAAATGTGTTCGCCCCATGCCCCTTTTGGCAAAAAGAGTTTTGATTAGGCATCATATTATTTATATTTTGCAAACCACCTCCTCAACTTTATAAATCACTTACAATAACTTTTTACCACGCGCGTCCTTAAAAGAGAGACATATACAGTCACGAACACTTTTGTAGATCATCTAACTATGAAAGATTAAGTTTACGTTCCTGGACCGTTTTCGCAGCGCACGCACCGGTAGCCATGCAGGATCAATAATTTTCCCCCAATTTATCCCCGTTTTTCCACACTTCGCGCAGTATCTTCGCTCTAATTGCTCACAGCCTGATATTTTTAGCCTAATGCTTTAAATGATCCAACCAACACATATTTCAATTCGATCCAGTAGTTTCCGAGATTAGCGCGTTCAAACAAACACACTCTTCAGTTTTATACCATTCGTATAGATTTTCTGCGAAACATTACAAGGTTTCGCTCATTCAAATCGGTTTTCAAGCGCTAGATAGCGAACATGATTCACGGACTAACAAAAACATCCACCTGTGGTAATTAACGAAGCCCTAAGTACGTGTGTACATATTATTACGGGATGTTTAATTAGCATCTAGGTGTATTCTAAAATGGAATGTAATCTCAAAGCACTAGACAGAGAGCATTTGCAATTGAAATAGTGTGAAACAGCTGAAAATTCGAGCTATATTTACAAAAGGCTTAAAACTGAGTATGTTTGTGCCTTGCTTTGTAGTTTAGTCTTTTCTGTATAATTAACATCGCCTCTTGAAAACGGAAGACTTTAAAAACTTTCTGGATTATTTATTTAAATTGCGTTCCGCGAGAGCTTTGTGGAGGTTTAGAATCATACGTTGTCTTCGTTTTGGCTTAAAACAAATACTGTTTTTCAAACGGAGCTAGCGACTGTGTAGTTTTTTGCTGTTTGGAAGGGAACAATTAAAGTTTTGAATGCGTGCTATTGTAAACGTAGAAGTGAGGTACGGTTCCCTAAGCTTTCAACACTGTTTTAAAATACTATTGGCATTAAAAAGAACATATATATAGTGTCAAAACTTAATTGGTTAATTTATTTTGAGACTCTACTTCTACAGCCTAAATACTCTCGCAATAACACAACTAATATATATCGCGTTATAAACAGTTAAAAAGGCTTTGTGACATCGCGTAAAGTACCGTAAATACTGAATTACAGGACTGGTAACGATGGGGTTTATACATGCATATAAAATCTTGACAAGTTGCGCGGCCGACCAATTTTGGCTTTGGATTTCTATTAATTTAGTTATTAAAAACTACTTAATTGAGAACTTCGTTGCTCTAGAACAAAAGTATATAGCCGTTTTGTCTTAAATCATTAATTAAAAGGATTTAAAGTTGAACGGACTGTTGTTTCGCACTCGTATTTTATTTCTAACATATTGTACCAGTGAATTAAAGGGAAAACGAGTATTTCCACATCGTATGCACATCGAAGCAGTAAGTTAAGTCATTTTGTTGGCTTGAGGTTTTTTTAGAGACGGCAAAGGAGAACCTTCCAGTAGAATGGGTTTCGCTTTTCCGATGAATTCATTTACTTAGTGTGTTCGCACCATTAGATCGGCTGTATTTTTAAGTAAAGCGGGGAAATATGTAGATGGGTACTCGTTTAAATTTAGAAAATAAGTTGCTATGGCGCAAGGACGTCCACCTCGCCGTTTCTTAGCTTATATCAGTGTTGGGACATTCTTCCCAACTCAGCTGAGTGGTTGTTAGAGGCAATTATTTTCTCTGTATAAGATATAATCTTCTCTTGTCATACTAATTAATTTTATCTTAAATCTTCTTATATTAAGTTTGTAAGATAAGTTTATTATTATAAATCTTGTGTTTTTTCAGAAACGGATCTCTATTCTATTCTAAACTCCGTGGCTGATATAATCAACTTTATGAAGCATCATTCATAACCGGAGGAAATGATAATGAATTTTATTTACAGACAAATTATATCTTTTGTGCCCTTATTATTATTATTTTCTATCGGGGACACCCTTGGCAGGACGGGTGATCAGTCCACGTTATCCGCTGACTATTTCCCCATTTCCTCCTTGCAGAGGTTTTGTGTCGTCCAACTCTCCCCGTGTCCCCTTCAAATCTTCCGGTTTGCTTGTAGAATCTTATTATTTTTTCCATCTGTAGTTCTTTAATGTCATGTACTGTAACTTCGTCCGAACCCATATGCATTTGTCTTAGCCTCGAGTACGCAGAGCATTCAGTGAGTAGATGGATGCTTGTTTCCTCACTTTCTCTGCACTCCGGACACAGGGGGTTGCTGCCTATTCCTATCATTGTAAGATATCCTGTTATGATTTCCACTTTGTGGCCTTACAAAAATATTTTTTATTAATAATTTTATCTGGAATTCAAACTTGGAACATCGAACGCATTTGTAACTACTGTGCTTGAGCTTTCTTGTTAGCTGGTGGACAATGATGAACAATTTGCGGAAGGTTAGACTAAGATCGACGTTGCGATTGTCGACGCGAATAGCGTGGCGACCATTTGTGCGACTTTGAAGCTTTCTCCAAAGTGATTCCTGATTTTGTTTGGCTCGCTATTCAAAATTCAAAACCTAATACATTACGGTAGCGTAACTTTAATTAAATGTTACGAATAAACTATGTATGTGGAATACATAGGCTATTCGTAAGTATATATTTTAGAGACCACCCAGTTTAAAAAAAACGGACAAATAGAACATTTTTAAAGGTTCTTCTGACTGCTGCAAAGCATCGGAAACGTAGAATCGTACTTAGAATAATTAAAAAAATTACGATTTTACTACGCATTCAGCCGTTAAGTGTTTTATTTAAATATGTATTCTACTACAACACAAAATACTTATTTTTGTTGACCGAAGACGACAAACAAGTATTTCATTCGGTTGGTGTGTTATGATTTTACCACACGTGTTGTTGTCGTTATTTTGCTGTTCCGAAAACTCAATATGGATGGATGTTTAGACATTCTCGTTCTGTAGTTATCCACAATTGAGGATGCGTTTGCGACGGTCGGGTGGCATGTCACGCGCAATGTGTATAGTTTTTCTGGTAATACTACATTTTAATATGTTAATGGTAAGTTTAAGTCCAAATCATCGTATATATATATTTTACTCTCTTTACTTTAGTTTAGTTTAGTTCACAGAAGATAAACATTAAATATTTCGTTTAATTATACATCGAAATTCGGCTTCTGTTAAACATCCAAAATGTCTGGGCGTGGTTAAATTAAATCTAATATTATAGAGCGTAAAGAGTTTGTTTGTTTGATCGCGCTAATCTCGGACACTACTAGTTTGAATTGAAAAACTATTTCTGTGCTGGATAAGTAATTTATCGAAAACGGGTTTAAGCGACCAATAGGAGCGAAGAAACGTAGGGAAATGTTGGTAAAGCGGTGGAAATTTTTCGTCTTTTAGGGCTACCGTTACGTGCGTTGCGAAAAAGGCTCAACATACGAAAAATAATGTGTTAATGAATGATTCCTCTTTAAATGACCTAAAAAAATATTCGCGACAATGTGTCTGTATCTTTTAAGATTAATTTGCTAAGACTTTTAAAAATAATTTGGACGTGGACGACGTAGGAAGTGACAGCTTAAATTAATAGAGTTGAACATGAAGTTTGTAAAAACAAATGTTGATGTCCAAAATAACTATTCTACGCGGACGTAGCCGCGGACCTAGCTAGTTAAAACAAGTTAATTATTCTATTACACGATTAAAACCGTTAAAATTATTTCATGTAAATATGTACTACTCGAGTTCACGCGAATCATGAAAGGGTGACAATACTGTATTGTTTTATTCAAATTCTCGGGAGCACGAAGTATTACAGTACATTACTTTACAGCTCAAACCCCTTCTAAAAGGTGCACTTTGAGCGCATCGCTTTTAATATTGACAGCTTATGTTTTTCAGTTTTACGCTGGAGCGAAATTTCTATGTTAAATCCTTAGAAATATTTCTCGAAAATTCTCGGTATTTATTTCGAGTCTTCAGATCAAAACATTTAAACTTCGTCAAACACGATTAATATATAAATGTAGCTTATGTCTTTTGCTTCCTGATCACAAATCGTTTGCCACCACTGCTGGAAAGCATACGGAACGTCGGGCCATAGTTAAATAATTTTTAACTTGACTTCAACTAATATAATTCGCGTTTTAAACCTTTAAAGTGTTCTCGGCACGCGAAAACTATAGAAAATACTTAAATCGTTACAGAGCAAATATTTTAAGCGCTAGGTTTGATGTAACATATAAATAGATACATACACTGATAAAATATACCTTCGGGTTTTTACAATAAGCGCTTTCGAGTAACTACTTAGTTTAGGTATAGATGAACGAATAGGCAGACAATGAAGTATTAATAGAAAACAAATGAATTAATCAATTGGTCGTGGGTTCGCTCCCCACCATGTTTCGATTTTTCAATTTATAATTTTTCTGAAACATGTTGGACTTCGTCTTGAAGCCTGGATATTAAATGGTTCACCCTCCATAGAAGAAAAAAAAACATGAAATTTAATTGCAATTCGGTTTCAGTCTGTGGATTTCCGGATATCCAAAGCTGGGGTATTTCACCTCCCATCAAATAAACTCCATGCTTGTTTCTTCTCCTAAAACAAATGTTGATTATTAGCTACAGACTGCTTACAAATCGAGCCCGTCAAACTACAAATTGTATGCACTCAGAAAAGTCGCTAACAATCATTAATATTTCAGGCCAAAAAGGATCTACTAGACCGAAAGACAGTGGATGGTATGATCTTAAAAATGCTATGGGATAAAGTGTACGGCCAATATGACGCCAAGACCAAGGAACTCGCTATAAAGAAGATTAGAAGCCGAGCAGACTACGAACATCTAGTTAATCATCTCATGAAACTTCACAAAGATAAAGCGAAGAAGATCGTCGATTTAGTAGCTGAAGTAATGCTAGTATACATCAGTTAAAAAAATAAAATAACTTTCTTTTTTTATTGTATTTTAAAGTTAACTACCTTTTGGCGGCTTTAGTTTGACAGCCATGTACACATTTTGTAAAATGCTTATACGAGTAGAGAACAAAATATGTAAAATAAGAAAAACATTGAATTATAATAACAAAAATATGTAAATACAACCTACATTCGGCATTATAACAAACAACTAAGTCATCAATTATAGACATCATATTTGAAAATAACTGAATTTACACAACAAACTGTCTTAATTCATATTGGGGCATTTTATCAGCTTTTTGGCATTTTTTCTTTTATCAACAGTACAACAAAGAAATAGAAAAAAAAGCCAGACACACATCATTTGTAGCATTTCAAGTATTACTCAGCTTTTAACAGCCTAAACGAAACCCAACATCGATTTAACTAAATACGTAGAGACACTCCATCCAGCATGACTTCTAACACTTTATGTTGAACAATCAATAGTTTGTTTATATGTTTTGTTAATTTAGGTCCAATCAGAAAATAGCTTAAATTTGTTTAAATTAAAATATGTACTCTATCTTAAACCTATTTTATTACACAGAGCTTATAAAATAAAACAGATACATACAAAGGACAAACAACTAACATACGAGTGTTTATGTAAACTTATAAGTTCACAAGGGGTAGGGGGAGTCAATAATAGTTTTAATTTACTTTTAACCGTTTAAAACGCGAACCGTATTAATTAACTAATCTTAAATTTATTTTAATTACGTCTCTACGTTTCGATCTTCCCGTGGTCACAGTGCTGCAAAGCATCAAGCAAAACGTCGGCCGTAGTGTACATTCTAAATAAGTTTTTTTCGCGTTTTAAACCGTTGACGATTGTTTTACTTAATAAATACCACTCGCATACACTCCAGACAATTTATACATTTACTTATATATATCTAACCCCATGTATAACTGAATATTTAATAAGCGGTTAAATTCTTTAAAACCACGCCACACATAAAAATCACAATGAAAATATATCTTGAAAAGCTATTTAAAAAGTTCGCTTAATAATTTTAATGGCAACCAATTAACAATATTAAATACAAATTCCTTGGGGAATAATGTTCTAGTGTGGTGAGACTAATCCATTTTCTATCTTGCATTACGGGAGTACTTCATTAGCTTAATGGAGATTTAATTTTTGAAAGATTCTTAATAATTGAAAGACGTGGAATATAACAGTTTTATAACCTACAGTCTTCCTCGATAAATGTAAAAGATTTTTTCAATTCGAACTCGTAGTTTCCGAGATTAGCGCGTTCAAAAAATTAAATGTATACCATACTTATCTTCGCCAATTTATGAAACCGATTTATACAATATGCTTTTTTGAAATTTTATATATCACTTTTATAAAAGTTGAATTTTCTTTATTTAATACACATAAACGTTCAACAGCCTCTGTGAACAACAAAACGTGTCTCGTTTTTTTTTCATTATGTCCTACTCGTCTGTCCGTCCAATAAGAAAATAACTTAAGTTACTTACTTTTAATGAGGAATTCTTGCGTTACGTAAAACAACTGAACAACAACTCCCTAAACTAACAGATTATAGTAAAGAATTAATACAGGATGTTAGAGATTCTTATATTGTATCTTATAATAGACATACATCAAATTTTAATATAATTCATTCACAAACGATTCTTTATCATAATAATGTAATCATGTCAATTCACTTAATATTATTACACAAAAGATGACCCGTTAATCTCAAATGACAGTTTAATTTTTTGACATTCATTCCCTACATTGAGGTATTGTCTGTAGTTTACGCGAGTAGAACTTATTTCGACTACAACCACAGGTTACAGATGCTTTGCAATAACGAACTATACTTGCCACTTCGTCCGTAAGGAATAGTTATTTTTGACATTTAAATTTATTTAGCCTAAAACCTTTCACGATAAATCTCAAAGAAAGTTTTTCAATTTGAACCAGTAGTTCCTGACATTAGTGCGTTCAGACAAACTCTTCAGCTTTATAATATTATAGATAACGGTATAAAGACGCATACAGAATGGTTGTTGCTAAAGCGGTTCGATGACAAAAGCGTAGCGCCCTTAAGCACTATATTTACTTGCATCACCTTTCACCAACGCGGTCTATAGCGAACTCGTAGTGAATATTCAATACCCTAGATCACTATTGAAAATCCAACACAAGGCTTACATGCACTTACAAACATCGGAATTGGAATTCCGAAATTACATTATGGATACGAACGAACGGTTATTGTTTGATAGAGCCAATATTCCAATCAACAGTATCCTAAATATGTTTGCACTGGGGCTTTTTCCGAAATAGTTGAAAGAGAGAAAATGTATCGATTTACCACATATGACAGACAGACATGAGAATCACTTGATGGTGGGTATATTCCAGCCATATAACATCTAAACAGGATGCGCTGTCGACCTTTTTTGGTTTTGGATATCCAGAAATCCACAGATAGAAACTGAAACGCGATTAAGCTGACGGACCTAGATGGAATTTCGATATTCCTACTATACATTTAATATCCAGATTTCCAAACGTAATCCAACATATTTTAGAAGCATTATAAATTGGCCCAATGGGGATCGAACCCAAGACCCGTTAATTATTAGTCATACATTGCTACTATTTCACGAGTCCATCAAATTACGTTAGTCCTTTAATATCACACTACGTTGCGCTGTCGACCTTTTTTTATCTGTGTATTTAAATTCGTAAGTGTTAAGTTTAAAATCATATCGCGCGAGAGATGCATGTATTGTTGAAGAAATTCGACGATGACGTGTGCGACACGGTAGCCTAATTAAAGTAGCCCGGAACGCTGCGGTAGTTGGTTCAAGTCCTGTCTGGGTCATCAAATATTTTCAATCTAAATAGATTTTTAATATCATAATCCTTTAATCTTTAACGTTTAAGCTAGCTATTGTTTTTGATCCATTTCTCATTTACCCACACATCGATACATACACGAGAAACCTCTTTATTTAAGTACAGCCTTTCAGTGAGGAAATATCATGTAATAAATGAAATTGTGTTTGGTAAGACACTTAGTGCCTTCATAATTCGGTTCCACATGTGGTCAGTGGGTAGCAAATTGAATTATGAACATCGTGGTAATGACCAAATAAAACGTTCTCATTGAGACACCAGCCATCCAGCCAGTATATTATAAGATAAAATACTCTAATGTGTTAAAAGGATTTACATACATAATGTTATATAATATTTTTTATATATAATTTTATTATTCTCTATAAAGAGAAAAAGAATGTATAAAATTATCGAATATCGTTATCCTTAAACTTTCCGTAGCCACTCTTTATTACGTCGTTATTAATTTATCGCTATAATTGTTTTTCATTTTATGTTATATTCCACCATAATTATGTTTAATAAAACTTAAGAAAATTGTTATTTATTAAAAATAATGCCACTACATTTGAAAAGATGGATGGAATAAATAGATGAAATATGTTGGCGCAAATATTGTTACTTATATTTTATTAAGAATCATATTCAAGATTACAAACAATTTTTAGTAGCTTAATATATTTTCTTAATGAAATGTTTAATTTAATTGATCAACATTATTTCTTTGTGTCTTTAAAATAATGTTTTGTGTAATTACTTAATACTGATTACGAAAATTTAAAATTTATAGTCCTTGGTCTTCTATACACACCTACCTGAACTATCTACACCTTAGGATAGCTTAAAATGAGATAAAAGCGATAAACCTTTGAAACAATGTCTTAGTTAATTAATTTCATTACATCACAACTTATAATAGAATTTAAATATAGAATATTTTTGTAAAAGATGATACCTACGGTAGGCTACGCTAGGATTATGTTTAAGCCATTCCCTTTGATGTTCTGTCTGAGGTTTTGAAACAATGATAACACAAGTATGATAATATATAATATACAGACTAAGTATATATACTTACATCTTAGTCTTAATCAAAACTAGATTCACTATGTATGAAATAAGAAAAGATCTTCTTTGACATTGACTCGTTGCTAATAATCAACGGGACTTAGGTTCGATTACCATGGGGTTCAATATCAAATATGTGTCTCAAAAATCTATGTAATAATCAATAATATTACAGAATTTGGAAAAATGTCGATATTGAGATATTTGTTTATATTTGGTCTATATCTAGAAATGTTAAAAGGAACTCACACACAAGAGTGAAACTCAGACTAAGCCGGTTGGCATAACAAAGAAAAGGTTCGCAATTAAAATTTAAAAACGTAGTGTATACTACTGAATGTGTACTGAGCCTGAGTTTTTAAACTGTATTTTTTCGTACATATTTATAGCGATATCAACTGGCCATTTGAGTTCCACCATCTACACCCTAAAGAGGACAATAAAGTGAATTTCTTCATCAGCTGAAAGACGGGGACGATTTATTATCATTACATACTAACAAAGGACAGGATTCCGTTTTGCACTCCGCAAGTGAGTTGAAAATTAACTCGCAAGACCTCTTGATTAGTGGAAGTGGGTTTAAATCTTGAGACTTTAAGAACACGACGTATATAAAAAGCGTTCAGAGACGCCATTTTTATATGGACTTGCGAATTATTTTACGCTAAATATATTATTCTTTCATTTGTTAATTAATGAGTGTAAAAAGTAATAACGGATTATTGATACAAAATATGTTTTTTTTATATGTACAACAGCAAATACAATATTTAAATTTTATACAGATTGCTGTTCTGTTGCTGCTAAAACAGCAATTATTATACATATAATAACAAAACAAAAAATAATAATGTCATCTAATAATAGACATACAACTCCTATTGATGGTTGGGTCAGTTGCTCTAATGGTATCAACGGCTAATAAGCAACGGGTCGTCGATTCGATGTGAGATCGACATGTTTCTAATTAATTTATATTTTTTCTGAAACGCGTTGGACTTCTGAGAATCAGGATATTAAAATGGTGGTAGGAAGATATTGGAATTTCATCCGAGTCACGAACCACCGTCCACAGATAAAGTGATATTTAATCGCGTTTTGGTTTCAGCCTGTATATTTCTGAATATACAAAGCCAAATAAGATCAACCGCGCACCTTTGTTATATGGTCGGTATATTTCAATTTCCATAAACTGAGCACGATGCTGGACTGTCCTCGTTTATTATAAAAAACACAAGCCCTCGTGGGGCATGGGGTAAATACATTTCTGTGTCCGTTTCACAGGTCGGTTTTATTTATTGGCAAGTAATTAACCAAACTTCTGTGTCCTGGCCGACCGAAATAATTTATTGTTTACCCGGGATTCGAACCCAGGACTTCTAACGGTTAACGCAATGCGCGGCACGTTTAACAATTTAGCTACAGAGGCAGACATAATATAATGTATATATAATTATGTTACCGTTACTATCTTCCTTGAATGCAGAATTCATTTCATTCCGCTCTTCAGTTATTACCTGTCTTGGAAACTTACAAGCCCAGTTGGACTTCCTTTAAAAATGCAGGATGAACAAGAGATAAGAGATAGAAGGAAGATCCTGTTGTTGCATGGTTATAGTGAGTCTGCCGACCTTACTATCGATTCTGTAATTTATAAGATTTCTGCATGTCTTAAGTATCCTGAATTGAAACCTGACAGTGTAAGTCGCTGTCAACGAATCGGTGCCAGAAAAGATGCTAAGCCTCGTCCGTTCCTTATAAAGTTTAAAGATATTTCTCACGAAGAAGCGACAGCCAGGAAAGCTTTTGGTATGCACAAATGTTGGACTAGAGATGGACGTATATTTGACATGACTCCTAGTGGTTCGCGTCGTCGAATTAAGAGCATGAAGGACATCGAAACTAGTGCACAGACAGCTCCTGTTGAGGAGTCTGTCTCCTTGCGTTTGTTTGTGCAATAAAGTGTTTTATTATTATTATTATTATTATATACAGTATAATAAATATTTATATATATATGCTCGTGTATATATTAAATACGTGTTATACGTACGTTAAATATGTGTAATTTTATTATATGTAGATACTAACATTTAGTAAAACATTCTGACATGTGTTAATGTGTCAGTATTAGATTTCGGTGTAACTTTGAGGCGTGTTGTCTAATGGATTGGTATATTCTATGTTAGTATCGATAATACGTTACACATTATGTATGTGTTCATATATAACTACATATATATCTGTAAATATTTATTGCGTGTAATGCATCTTGGTTCCGCTTTCAAGGCTCCTTTGGTGCGACTAAATAATATAAAACTATGGACCAGTAATCTCTTTGTTATGGCAGTTAAGGTATGATCATTTCTGGTCACAAATTTGACGTAAAAAAACAAATAACATCAGTGTTATCATAATATTCATAATATGTTATTACATATGATGACATTAAATATAGTATAAAGCGTATGAGAGTAGTACAAATTCAAATAAAATACTTCCAACGGTTTAAAACGCGAATTACATTGGTTAACTTGTTTTTAAATGTAATTTAATAACGGCCTGGCGTTTCCGATTACGTATAACACGTATATAATATCTTGTATAATTAAACCTTTTAAAATGATTTATTACAATAATGGCATTATATAAATTAAAAATCTATTGAGATTAAAAAATATTGTGACGATAGCTCAATTGTTTAGAGTAGCACGGAACGCGTTGGATATCGGTTCAAGATCCGCGCGTGTCGTAATTATAAAACCAAGATTTTTAATTTGAATTGTGTATATTTTTATTTTGGTCCCTTTGGTGTCTGCTGTTCTAGCTCAAAAGCACGCTTATTACTAGTCCGTTAACTGCCTGCAGGTACTTAGTTTGAGTTGATGAGATTGGTTATAGTTGTTAGTCGGAAAGGGCATAGAATCGAAGACTTAATCCGTTTTGCTTAACATGATTTATATTACCTTTTAAGGGCGAACTTAGAAAGAAACAGATTTCGAACTGTTTAAAATACTTTCAGTTCATGTGTAGCGCTCGTCTAAGCTAAGCTACTACTAAAACTTATTTGGTTTACACTACACTACCATCACGTGTTTCTTTAAATACTCACAACGTATAATATATCGTCCATACTCCGTTCCATTTTACGCGGTATGTACATAAAACATGTTTGCGACGCACGGACGCGTGAACGGGCGTGATTTCAATTCCCATCAAAAGCTCTATCGCGAAAATGGGAACGGACGGACAGCCCCAAAAGAGTAGAAATAGGTATAGACAAATATATACGGCAAAATCATTTACGTATATTTTTGAAACTAACTTATTGCTTTAGCGGCAATGGCAATCGTTTTCTATTGTTTGCACGATTAATATTATTATATTGATAAGAAATAATTCCTAATAAAGTATTAATCGACCAAATTTGGTTACAATTAAAAACTGTTCCTGCGAGTTGGTCTCACAAGATGGCTGTCGCGGACATTTTTTTTAGGTAATATAAAGAAGAATCTGAAATCTGAAAGAGAAGTATGAATGAGTATGTATCTGAAGAAAAGTATTAATTTTAAACCGTTAAAATTGTTTTCTCAGTACGATAGTACTACGAAACTAGGCAATATATAGATAAACTTCATTACGAAATGCAGTCTATAATGATTTGAACTATATGTTGATACAGAAATAGTGCTCGCTAGATATTTCCAACGAAAACCAGCTGGAAGTATTTTTATTTTATTTACGACTGGACGAGAAAAATCCACTGTACCATGTAACAAAATTAAGACAACGTAGTAAAACAGAGTAAAAATAAACGGATCTCATAACCGCAGCATTGCGATGAAATATTATTATCTGTATACAATTTATAAGCTACATTCTTGCCGTAAACGCGTGATAAGCCTACGCTGGCAGAAAGTTTTAAACTACTATCTTGCTCCTGCGTTAAAGTTGGAAATTAAAAATAAACAAAATTACTCTGGACTTATAAGTATAGTTGTAAAACTTTACAGCGCTCTAAGCAAGTATATTAAACATTTATTACTGCGTTCCTTAGCGAAGATTATATCCACACTAATATTATAAAGCTGAAGAGTTTGTTTGTTTGAACACGCCAGGTGAAATATATTCTGCGGTTTCATTGTACATTCGTTGGCACAAATAGGAAATAACGAGGAGGCTCGGGATTCGATCCGTTTCTGGATTTTTCACATATTTTCTAGAGAGTTTGAAAGTCGACGATGTTAGTGTCCCTGTACCGGAAATAAAGTTATGTGTTGGCGGCGATTGTCTATTTTACTGGCGGTAGTCGGCTCAAAAATGAATAATTTTCCTAGTTTTTTCCACATTTTTGTATTTAGTGATGTTATACAGCCTAAAGCCTTAGCCTTCCTCGATAATGTCTATCGAAAACAATACTTTCAATTCGATCAAGTAGTTGCTGAAATTAGCGTGTTTATAGAAAAAACTCTTCAGCTTCGTATCATTAGTATACAAACTCTCTTTTTTATCAATTTAAACTCGCTAGGACCTCAGCTTATATATTACATAGGGAAAACCGACGCTTTATATTTCAGCTAAGCAGTATTTATGCCTTATATTCCGTAACTAAGAGCGAACATTCATGGAGATATATTAGGACTTTGCAAACTTGCATTCAAATGTTCTGCGGAGTCATACAGCGTAACGTAACCAGCGATTAAAATCTATTTTAATGTTCACTACATTAGTTTGTAAGTGTAGCGTAGAGTCTTTAAAGGAATTATAAGTGACTGTTGTCCCCCCTTGAAGCATCAGGCAAACATATTTCTGTGTCCGTTTCACTAGGCAAGTAGTTGGTAAAATTTCTGTGCCCTGCCCGACCGAAACTATTGCTTCCTGAGATTCAAACCAGGATCTCTCGGTTTTATCGCAATTCTAGGCGACGCATTTAACCATTTAAGTGCAGAAATGGTCTATGCAACTATGAATGATTATTTTGTCAAAAAAAAACCAGTTTAGTGTTTTTGAAATAGAGAACAGACCAGCATGAGATTTACTTGTGAAAGGTAAAATATAAATAACATCGTAAGAAGATTGTGTTTTGATCTATTGTAGCCCTAAAAAAACCTATAGTAATGAAAAATTATATCGTATTTAGCGTAAATATCTAAATGTATATTTGCGTATATGTTTTGTTTATATCAGATATTCCATACCTTCTAAATATCAAATTCGTCTTACGAAAATCCGTGAGGTGTAATCGCGTTTCGGCTTCAGTCTGTGGATTTATGGACGGACTTATGGATTATTCAGTCTGGATATTTCAGGAGTCGAGATTTTCACTAATTTTCACACTAAAAACAGACAATAATGGATTCCAATTTCAAACATGTTTCAGAGCCATCTATTTTATATTAAAACTTTCGACTACTCTATATGTGAAAATATAAGTAAATTGATGTCATAAATTTATGGTCCCGTTAAAACCTTTTTGTGTCTAATATATCGCTCGTATTAATTAAACGTTTCATTGATGTGACGCTGTATCCAGCTTAAATTGTGGGATTAGCATTGCCAACACATTGCTATTCCGCTTAAATACATATAATTTATGCCAAAGTGAGTGTTTATTTAACAATAAATAATATTCTCGTGTAAAGAACAATATAACATTAATAGCCATTGATATGTATTGAAATTACTGTTAATTTTTACAAGATTATGCATATTTAAGTTTAAAAAAATCTAAATTCATTTATTCGTTTCGTCGTCAATGCAGTTAAACACTAAAAATCGTAAATTTACCACCAGTTCCCAAATCAGGGGCATAGACCGAACGAGAAGAACCGGCTAGAAACTCGCCGCCACTCTTTTCACCACCAAGTTTTTAATACAAATTCCTTACGCACTCAAAATGTACATCTTTTCCCTGTTAGAGCCGAATTTCTCTAAATCCCGAGCATTCTTATTATTTAAATATTGATTTACGTTATAATAACCCTTTCAATCATTTATTGATTTAAAATTATTTATTGACAGTGTTTGTTCTTCACGAGGGATTTTATTAATATACCGTATGCGGTTACCTTGAAATAATTTCTTGGTTTTATGGAGTTTTTGGCCAGTCCTTACCTATATATTGGTATTTCTTATAAAAACCTTATTGAGACATTTATATTTTATTAATATAACTATTTATTTAATTTATAATAGTTTTTTTTATAAAAGCCCACAGACGAGCGCGGTTTTCGCTTGATGGAAGATCAAATACCTCAGCCATATACCAAGTAAGCAAGATGTACAGCAGACCTGTTTTGACTGTGAATATTCTTTTTTTACAAATAAACGTAATTCCCGTAAATTTTTGCAATCAATAAATGTAACGATTTATTACCACTAGGAGTAATTAAAAAGGTACGGAACCCTTTGTGCGTGATTTCGACTCGCCATTGACTTTCTTCGAGATTATTCGAACTCGACCCACATCATAGATTATATGTCATATACCGTAATCAACAATTTCAATTCTCATCAATCAATTTGTCTCGACGATTTTCTCATTTCCATTGTATTCTTAGAATAAACTGAGCTCGAGCGATGTCCTAACTACGCATATATATATATATATAATAATGCCTGTTGTTAAATAAAAGCTTATTTACTCCTTATTCATTATAGTACAAGGCGTATAAATTTTATCAACTACTTGGCTATATCAGAAACGGACGCAGAACTGTATTCGTTCGATCCCGACCGGGTCCAAAATATTCTAATTTTTCAATTTATAATTTTTCTGAAACATGTTGGACTTTGTCTGGAAATCTGAATATTAAGTGGGTGGTAGGTAGATAATTTAAAAATTCCGCCCGGGTCATAAACCAGCATCCGCAGATGAAATAGCCGTGAACGTTAATCGTTTTGGTTCCAGTCTGTGGATTTCCAAATAATAAAGCCAAAAAAGGTCGACAGCGCATCTTGT